CCCAGAGAACAGGCTCTCCTGTATATTTCAGGCTAAAGGCAACTTTCTTTTACAAAAGGTGCAGAGCTAGCAAGACTAAGCCTAGAAAACAGGGCACAGGGTTAAAACGAAAGAAACAGACCTGATATGAAGTCAGATTTGTTCTTTTCTGTTACAGCCTACCCACCACACCTGCCAGAGAAGTAAAAGATTAAGTTAGTACCTGGTTTTCAGCCCTGTTTCTCAAGTTCACGTGAATGTCTGGGGCTCCAGCCTCTGTCTCTAAGATGGGGTGAGTTCTACTGGACTCCGAGGTCTCTGAGGACACAAATTATGTATTTTTCATAGTTCTCAGTACATCTAGGGTTAATTGCAACATCTGCACCACCTTTTTACAGGGCTACTATGAGAAATAAATGAAATAATGTAAGTAGATGGGCTTTGTGAATGCAAAGTGTTATACAGATATATTATTATTATAAACAATAACCTCGCATTAATGCCCACTGATAATTGACATGTTAGACATGGCCACACTAATTATTACTAACAGTTGCTATTACCAACAATACACCAAAGCACTGATTCATCATGTTTTCATATGGAATAGATGCAAGGGAATTTGTCCCCAGAATTACACAGAACTTCCTAGGGAGGAACTCAATAACTATGTATTAAAATTAAATGGAAAAATGGAATTAAAGGTGACTGAGGAACATTCTAGTCGTGGAGGGAAATCACTTGGCTTTTTCCAGTGAGGACAAGTACTCCGCCATTTATAAGATCTCTGCCAAGAGCCACCGTATCATGAGCTTACTCTGCTTCATAAAGAATATCTGCGTACCCAGGGCACAGAGCATGTGCTCCAGGAAACTGAACAGGAGTCTTCAGTTCACAAGGGCTCTTGTCTTTTGGATCCCTGAGAAGTGTTCATTTATTCCACTTGGGTGTCCTGTGTAGTTCCCGGGAGTTAGTGAACACTCGTACTCACTGCAGGGCAGGGGGAAATTGTTCCCACTCTTCGCTGGAGGATGAAGTGCATTCACATTCAACTGCACCATTTACTGTCACCATTATATGGCCAGGAGGGTACAGGAGGTAGTTTTTAAAATGGGTATGAAGTAAACGAAGGAAGTTAAATGGTAGGTCTGAAACTCTGAGTGCAAAATGCATTTCCAAGCTATGTGTTTCCCTTCCCATCTTTCTAACAATTACAACTGTGGCCATTAAAGATTTACCAAAAGTTTGACCCAAGAAAACACTATCTCATCTTTATAGTCTAAGAGGAAACAAAAAGCATCCTCTCCATCTCCTTGATCCTCAGACACAACCCTCAAGCCCTGCTGGTCTCCAAGAGCAACAATCTGTTCTGCAGCTCAGAACAACTGATTTCCAATATTCCCAAGACACAGATTTATCCTCACTGACTCTTTTTTATTGAAGTATAGTTGATTTACAGTATATTAGTTTCAAGTGTACAGTGTAGTGATTCAGCATTTTCATAGATCATACTCTGTTTAAAATTATTACAAAATAATGGCTATATTTTCCTGTGCTGTATAATATATCCTTAACAGATAAAAAGATATGATACACACACATATACACACATACACAAAGAAATATTACTCAGCCATAAAAAAGAATGAAATTCTGCCATTTACAACAATGGGGACAGACCTAAAGAGTATTTTGCTTAGTGGAAGAAGTTAGAGAAAGAAAAATACTGTATGCTATAACTCATATGTGGAATCTGAAAAATAAAAAACAGAAGAATGTATATAGCAAAACAGCAGCAGATTTACAGATAGAACAAACGAGTGGTCCCCAGTGGGGTGCGGGGGCCAGGGTAGGGGAGGGATGAAGAGACACAAACTATTATGTATTCTTATTGATCCTTCACACCATTAACAGCACAGAAGGTCAGATTGCAGGTCCTTTTGAGTCCAACCATCAGGCTTACATTTCTAGGATGCACTTTAGAGAACAAAGATTCTGTTTCATCACTAACAGTCTACACAGCCAACTAAAGAGCAAGCAGCTCCCCTCCATCTGGGAAGCCATCTGAAGGTAGTTGCAATGTAACGATTCCAGTAGCAACCTGAGCTGTAAACTAGGGCATAACAGGGCCTTCTCCCTGCTGGAAAAAAAGAGCAGGCCAGCCTTCACAAGTAATAAAAAAGAAATGTCCAATCTCCAGATACGTCTTCCCCAAAAGAATTTGAGCTGTCAAAATAAAAGCCTGTGGTAGTAACATTTGTACCAACTCCCCTTCCTCTTCTTCCCAACCCAGTCAAATTCTCTAGCATGCCAAAGATACTCTGAAACCACACTAGCCATTTACATTTACCATTAAATGAATTAAAATTAAACAATTAAAAAGTTCAGTGTCTCAGTTACACAGTCCACTTTCACAGCTCAGGAGTCACCTGTGGTCAGTGACACCTGCCTGGGCAGCACAGGTGGAGAGCATCCCCATCACTGCAGGGATGTCTGCTGGACCAAGCTGACCTCCATAGCACCTCTTCTGCCAAACTCTAAAACCCTCTCTCAAAGATAAGCTCGCCTTGGATTTCTCGCTTACCCTGACACTACCAACAATCTCTTCATGATGCAAATCAGGTTAGCCTCTCAGGTTTTTCTTTCATCTTCACTTAGTCAATTACAAGATTCCCCACAACAGAGACACCCAGGAACTGATTCGGCCAGCACAAATCCTCTTCGGCAAGGTTCTCCCCCAGTTCTGTAATTCTGTACCCAGAAATTTCTCTGTAAACTCAGACACGTTCTAAGGGACAGATCCAGGAAAACACGCATCAGTTATGTCCCAAGGCAATGTCCGCGTCTGCCAGCCTTCACTAGACACAGACAGTCGTGGGCATGTGGTTCAAACAGACTGTCAGGTGCCTCTTAGTTCTAGCAGAGGGCCAGTCACTGAACCTGCACCAGGAAGTAGGTGTCAGCAATAAACCAATGTGCACTACTGCTGATTGAGTGCATGATTCTCCCAGTCACTGTAAGTGGTCAGAGGTCTGTGTGCTAGTCACTCGCCTTTTTGCTTTCAAGTGTGTTCCAGACCCTTCCCTGCAACCTGGCCAACTGGCTTCCATCCAGGTTTGCTCACTGATGGGCCTGGATGGGGGCCTGAGATGCCATCCCTCCTCATCACCCATTCAGGCAACGTTTTCTGCACCTCCTCTGCCTGGATGGTATATTATGCAGCTTTAAAAACTATAATTATGACTATTATAGCAATATGGAAAAAAAACATATACTACTAGGTAATAAAACCAGGAAAAAAATTTACATGCATGGTAAGTATCATGGAAGAATATGAATGCCAGAAGGAAAAGACTGAAAAGAAATATATACAAGTAACAAATAAATTATGCAAAGTGGGTATTTATATAAGATGAATTAGGTAAAGGGGAGGAACTCTTTTCCTCTAATTTTCCAAGAGTGTCTTTTTCCTAATGTAGATTTTCTAAAAATAAAAAATAAAAGACAATAAAGCCCACCAACAAAGTCAGTAAGAATATTTAAAAGAAAAAAAAATTATACATTAAGATGCTGTGACTGCTTCTATATTTCCAGGACAAGTCCTGGATAAGCCCAAAGTTAAACTGAGAGCCCAGGCTGCCCGTTTGTCCTCCAGCCCTGTGCATGTTACGGTGCCGCCTCACCTGAATTTCATCTGCTCACCAACGTCTGTCCAACCTCCCTTTCAGAGAAGTGGCTCTTATCACTTGTGTGCCAGTAAGGAAACACGCGAGCTGTGAAGTCTTCTAAGCCTTCCCTCCACTGTGGAGAGGAAGACTTTGCCCCTAGGGGAGCACCTTTCAGCTACTTGCAGACAGATGGGAGAAGCACTCAAGAGTGTCCTCAGGGATCCATACCAGGTAGGTGTCTACTCTTATTCTACTCAGCATGGCTTCAAATCCCTCAGCCAAATGCCACTGAATGTCCGGTTCCCTTAGAGATGATAATACCTGCTTCTTCTGCTGCACACGCCCCTCTTTCCCATTCCCCCATTCACCCCAGACCAGATCCTTAAAAACATTGCTTACTCACACCAGGTATCTGCAATCAAAAATAGAACAACAACAACAATCCCAAAACTTAAAACCAGTCCTCAACCAATATGTTTCAACTTTTAAATAAGCGAACAAAGCTCAGCTGCAGAATCCCACCTGTAAGACTGCCACACAAACCACCAAGGACCACAGTCACGGCCACCGTGAGTATAAGACAGCAATGGAGAGCTCAGGCCCTGGGGCCTGGGTGCCAGGGTGCAAATGTTAGATCTTCCACCTACAAAAGGAACAATCCTGGGCAAATCCTTAACCTTTCTGTATCCTCAAAAGACTGCTGTGAGGACGAAATGAGTCGTTTTACATAAATCACTTAGAACAGTGTCTGACACTTGATAATCACCCAATAAAGTTTAGCTAATAATAAGTTCTCCAAAAAATAAACACTGTATGAGATGGCCCCTGTCAGCCCCCCACCCTGCCCCAGGGGCAAACAAATTCAGGGCCAATGTCCAGATATCCACAGTACGAAAACATCACGATACAAGCAGAAATGGAATCACAATTCATATCCAGAACTTTTCACATCACCAAAATAAACCATCTGAAGCCAGGAAGTTTGAGAGCGTTTTCCAGTCAACCCTCCCGCCACGCTTCTGCCTGTCTCACCGGCCGTGCCTACCTCGAACCACTGCCCATGGGACTGCATCTTGAGGATAACGCAGGGGTCTGGTTTGGAAAGAGCGTCTCTGTCGGAAATGCCTTTACAGGCCACACGCAGCTCAACTTTGGTCAGGCAGGGGCTGTTAAAGATTCCCAGTGTGTTGGCCGCCGACTCGTAAATGTTGCTCATCTTCTTCATCCTGTTTTAACACGGCAGGAAAAAAGACATGCCAATCAGCCCAGTATCTATTCAAGGAAAAAGCCTCCCAATGGCCCTTCAGGAAACGGTTTAACCCACAGTTTCAAATACTATTTGAATTATCTCACTTGCCACCCTAGGGGCACAGTTCCAGTGAAACAAACAACCCTCCCCCCCAAAAAAACCAAAACCAACAACAATAGCCAAAAAACCTAATCAACAGGTGTAGCACACTCGGCTAAGAACACTATTTTGATATGATTTGCATATATGTGCACAGTAGATTTTTTTTTAAGTCTGTGAAATAATATTAATGAACTAGGGCAAGAGACTGCAAACTGTAGTCTCATTCTATATTAAGCACATGGCTTGCATGAAACTTTGGTTGTTGGTTCATCAATTTAATCACATTCCAAGTGTTGAAGATTCCCCCCCAAATCCAGCTCTGCTTTTCCTTCTATGAGGTGGCACAGAGAAGGACACTGTCCTTCCTGCAGACACAGTCCAAGCTTCCCTCCCCCAAACAGTGGCCCACTTCCTCAAGGCTCGGAGAGAGACCAGAGTCTGACTTCCTGCTGCCGTGTGCAAGTTCACTCTCACCTTCCCTCCCAGCTCTGCCACCACATCGAGCATCAGAGCCCATGACCATGTGGGAGGCAGGGCACCAGGGCTCCAATTCCCTGTGCAGGTGAGCGCTGTGAGCCCCCTTCCCACCTTCACGTCATCAACTCTCAATAACACTTCGCATCGAGGAGGCGCAGGGCTACAAGGACCCCCAGAGCCCACCAACACTCTCCTTCTCTGAGGAGAACGGGACTTGTAAGGACATCAACAAATTCTCTCAGGAGCGAAATTCAAGATCCTTCTCATGAAATTCAGTTTCCTTATAGATTCCCTAGAAAGTGACACTGGAGCCCCATGGTGGAATTTCTCCATCTATGAAATGAGGACAAGCCCTCCTCTTCCATCCCCTCCTCTACAAATAATCCACGAATTTCCCCTTGGGACCTGGCATCATACTGCGCCAGATCACCTCTTTCACAGGGTGACAGCTGTGCCCACCCCCAACACACACACCCCCCAGCTGCTTGCTCCAAACACAGCAGCAAGCTCCATGCCAAAGCCAGCCTTTTCCAATCTGACAGTCCCCTGCCTCATGGCATATGTCACTGGAAGTCCTCTCCCAGTGCTCCATCACAAAGTTCTCTGCCCGTCCATCCTTCTGTCCTCCCTTCCGTCCTTCCATCCATCTTTTTTCTTCCTCCCTTCCTTCCTTCTGTCCTCCCTCCTATCCTTCCTTCTGTACTTCCGTCCTTCCTTTCTTCCCTCCTTCTGTCCATCCGTCCTTCCTTCCTTTCATCCTTCCTTCAGTTCCGTCCTTCCTTCCTTCCTTCCACATTCCAACTCTCTAGTGCCCTGTTTATCTAATTACTGTGAACATACGTTTTTCCCTATAAATGCTGAGGGGAAACTGCTCTGATTGCCAAAAAAGTTATTCCCTAGAACAGAAGGGGACAGACCTGGGCCTGCACGCAAAGTCCAGCCCACCAGCTTTGGTACACAAGGTTTACCAGCACACAGGCCTGCCCATCCCTTTACGTATTGCGTGTGGTTGCTTTAATACACCTGAAGTGCTGTGTACTTGCAGCAGAGACCCAGAGGTTGGCAAAGCCTGAAATGTTTAATCCCTGGCCTCTTCAGGGAATGTTTCCCAACCTCTGTTCTAAAATATCAGGGAAAGGGAATCAGCAGTTGGGGAGGAGTTGGGATTCCATTTCAATAAGCGTCGTGGGATTAGTGGAGGGTGAGAGCTGTTGTATCCTCTATCATACTGAATATTAATAGGGACTTTTGGGACATTTGTTCCTTTACATATGAGAGAAATCTGAGCTCAGAGAGGACTGGCGCCTTGCCCATGTCACACAATTATTCTAGCAGCAGAGCTCAGCCTGGAATGCCAGTTTTCTTTCATCCTATGCTAATTTCTACCATATGCAAAACCTTTATCTGTGAACTGTTTGAATCTACCAAGGAACCGTGAATGGATGTGATAATATCCTTGATTTATTTCAACCTCCATCCAGAATCATTCTTTTCACTTTTAAATAAACTGCATTCATAAATAGAAAATGCGCAAGTCATAAATACAAAGTTTAATAAATTACTCTTCCTGTTTTTTTACCGATTGTGAGCAGACCAATTCTTACAGCAACAAAGAACACAGTATACATGAAATGCAATTAATAGAAAAGTGCACAGAGAGAAGGAATGAACTAGAAGGAGGATGGCTGTGGGTCAGAGAGAGTTGGAAATAATGCTATCAACTCTCTATCAGATTTTTGATAAGAGCAGCTTATTCTTCAATTCTTCAAGCATCTTGGCTGAATTCTGTCTCCCGGTGCATCAACTGGCTCCTGGGAATCCACATTGCTCTCTGCCTTGCCTATCCCTGGAGGTACCGCTATCTCTTCTAACTGACCCTGTCCTTACAGGCTCCTGGCCATGTCCATCCCATTTCACTCTCTCTCTCTTTTTCTTAAAGACTTTAGTTTCTTAGAGCAGTTGCAGGTTCATAGGAAAACTGAGAGGAAAATTCAAATATCCTGTATGCCATCTTCCTCGAACGTGCACACTCTCCCCCACTGTCAGCATCTCTCTGCAGAGTAGATGTTTGTTACAGTCGGTGAACCTGCATGGACATATCATCACCCAAAGTCCTTTTTCCATTCCACCTCACAGTTAAGACTAGGCATTAGAGAGGATGTCCACTCTACAGGCCAAGCTTGTGTTCTACAGAAAGGAGTCGGGGGGTCTGAAAGGGGTGGGTAGCAGGAGCCAGTCTGAAAAGGCTACCTATTATAGGACCCCAACTCTGTGACACTCTGGAAAAGGCACATCTCTGGAGCCAGTAACAAGATCAGTGGTGCCAGGGGTCAGGGAGGGAGGAATGGGTGGAGCCCAGAGGATTTTTAGTGCAGGGAAACTACTCTGTGTGGTACTGTAAACTAGGATACAGGTCGTACACCTTTGTCCAAACCCGTGGAGTGCAACACCATGAGTAACCCTCATACATACAGGCCCCCTCCCCTGGGTCTGCAACACCAGCTGTCCAAGGCTGTCATGCTGGTCCTTATTTATTCCTCCCTTCACCACCCATTTTCCTTCCTTCCTGTCCTGCTTGGGGACCAAAGAGGCTGACCTCCACTCTGACAGCTCAGTGCTGGCTGGAGTCCTGTTGCTATGATCTGAATATTTGTGTCTGTATGTTGAAATCCGAACCCCTGAAGGTGGTGATACTGGAGGAGGAACCTTTGGGAGGTGATGAGGTCAGGAGGGGGCTCCCATGAATGCTCTCATTATAGAGGCCCCAAAGAGCCCACCACGCCCTTCTGCCACACGCGGGTACAGTGGGAAGAGGGCCCCCATGCCACCACGCTGGCACTCTGGTCTCCAACTCCCATCGTCCAAACTGTGAGCAGGGAATTTCTGTTGTCCGTAAGCCCCCCAACCCGGACAGACTGAGTCAGCTGGTGCTGCAGACCCAGGGAAGGAGAAAGACTAGTGTGTTCCTCCCCAGCTCCTCCTCTGGGCCTACTCAGCAGAGGCCATGTCCCCACACGACCTGGGTCCTGTCAGGCAGCTCCATCGCCAAGGCTCCAGCCAGCATGGGCTCTGGGATACTGTTCCCTCGTTCTGCTCCTTCAGGCTTACACGTCAAGTCTTAAGTTGGCCATCCTAGAAGCAAAGGGTTCAGATGCACCTGATAGATGGAGCGGGGACAGAAAGGAAGTGAAAGGGGCAGGGCGGTGGTCCCAGCAGGAGGCCAGCTCCCTTGCGGTTCCAGGAACATGAGCTGCACACTGGGTTGACCCCACCTTGCAGAAAGGGGTCCAGTCTCCTACTGCCCCATGTTAGTTGTGCGAGGGTTGGGGAGACACAGCCACTTACTTAGGTTTTGTCCCTCCCTGTGCTGGCTGACAGCATTAAAGGGCAGTCGTGAACCACACGTAGCCAACACTCATACCCCTGGGCACTAGGGGAAGAGCGCACTAACCTGATTAAGGGGATCTGGGCAGGGTACCCCCAGGGTCTGTCCCACCCAGCGGTTGTCTCCTTCAGGCCAGGGACTACTGCTTACACTTCGCTGCATCCCCGACAGTCTTCACCTTGATCACATCTGTAGACAGGTGAGGAAACCAGCACAGACCCTCACCCGTGGGGGGACGGGTACAGTACATGTCCCTGCACAAATGAAAACCCTAATCAGGGAGACACACTGGAGATCCTGAGTTCCTCTGGCTGCCAGAGGTGGCAGCGGTCCTGACCTTGACTTTGGAGGTGGTACACAGGCCAGTGAAGACGAATTGTTTGGCCTCGGCCCAGCTGAAGCTCACTGCTGCAAGGTGATCACAAAACACGGCTCTGTCAGCGAGGGATCTGCTACCTCCGGCCCCAGATAAGTGGAGTAAACAAATAATTTCACAGTCTGCAGGAGGACAGGATTAATATAACCAGATTATCAATAGGTTTTCCATGGCCTATTGAATTCCTCTTTGTTGACTTCCATTACAATCCTCTGGTTTTACAGAGACTAATGTCTGTAGAGAATTATTTCAATGAAAGCTGACTTTTGGCCAATTTTAGAAGCAAATTATCATTGTCCTTACACTCAGATAATTAATTATAAAAAAAAAGCAAAACCACCACTTCAGCGTATCCAGACTCTCCAACAGGACAAACTGATCCAGAAACTTAATTAGTTTCTGAATGAGTTGCAAACAAAGCCAAGACAATCGAGCTCAAGAGGGAAGAGAATGAGCTCGCGGTCACAGGGGAACCAACTGAGCAGAGTGCGTCTCACAACTCTGTTAAGAGTACACCGTCACTGTTCTGCCTGCTTTGGCATCGTCTGGCCTTTTCCAATGTCACAGCACATTCAGAGAAGGCTGGTGTGCGACGTCTCCATCACACAACATTCCCATCCCAACTCAGGAAGCATGA